TTATGTCCTTGCTAGTTGCAAATTATATAATAATTATATTAAAATTACTTGCAACATGTTTACAATTCATAAAATATTCGACAAGATATACTGTTTTTCAAAGTATAATCTTTATTTGGAGCTTCTAACCTATGGATAATTTTTCACAGAGAGCGCTAGTTATAATCAGAATTTAATATAGGCCAAAGTAAAATAAAGAAATAAACTAGTTAATTTGTTAACGATTGGCAACATATAACAAATTTGAATAATATAAATTAAAAGGTATGGAAATTAAAAGTATGCAATAAGATATTTTATTCGTAATATCATTTTAAGGTAACTAATGTTCTATAAATCCATCACTTTTAAAAGCGGTACTATTTGTTATATAGTTTAAAATGAAGTAATATATACTGTTCATTTAATGATGTTTTGCATGTAATATTTAAATAAATTAAAATGTTGATTATTGGGATATTTTGTAAAAATGGCTAGCCTGCGTTCTACCAACCTACATTAGTTTACTTTGTAGCAAATGCGTCTTTCATGCAGAGGGAATTAAAATCACTACAAAGGCGAGAACCGTATGATAAGGTAAGTTGCGTAAGTAAGAAAAATGTCGTTCCACAAGTTCAATTCATTGACTGGCCGCTTGAAACAAACCTCACAATTAGAAGCTCTTTCTCCATTAGTAAGTAAATGGCAATTAAAGGTATTTTACTACGTAATAAATCTGAAAATCCGTATATGTCCATATACTGCTCCAAGTACACTGACTTACTTTTAGAATCTCTACTCTTTTGTTTCAATGAAATACACTTTGTTGTGTACCTTATTATGTAGTCGTGAAAGAAAAACAGTAAATTCGATATTCAATTATTTATTTTTAAGTGATATTTTATATCATATTGTAGGAATGTAATAACATATATTATACAACATATATCATATAATAATGTCATTTGTGTCTATTATATTTATTACATTATACTGCATAAATATTTTAAAAAATTGATAATTATATTGCAGTCACCACGTCCACTAGAAAAAAACCTTCCACAAATGATGTACGATACTATTAAAACCAAACCTGTAGCTACAGCTTCATCTACACAACATTATTCTACAGTGAGTCCAAAAATTCTAAAATTGCGACAGGAAATGCAGGTAAATATATGTTTGTATTGTTAACAAAGAAATTATGTTAACAAAGGAAATATAACAAAGTATGTAATTTGTAGGCTGACATGACAAAACCTGTATTTCTTATTCGTGGAACACGTGATAAAGTATGTTTTGGTGTAACTGTCGCATTAGCGGCAGTTTGCACGGTGTTGAATTTCACGAACTTTGTAGAGCTCAAGAAGAAATTTAAATAAATATAAGAAGTTAAGAAATGATACCATAGATTCATCTAGAAACAACATTTATTGTACAAAGTATATTGTACCTTTTAGAAAATTCTTACATCTATGTAAATAAATAATAAATTATTAAATCTACTCCTTAAATTTTATTCTACCTTCAAACATTTTTACTCTTGTAAGAATTAATTATTACTTCCAGAGGTCCAACTTATGATATATGCTACCATACAAAAGGTACAGGATACACCTAACACCTAATGCATTTCCTTATCCACGACAGGAGGGCTGCGAGTGCCCTTAACTATGCTGAATCCGTGAAAAGGATAGCAATGGAGATAAGAAACAAAATAACAGAAGACGAGGATAGCACTAGAGAAACGAGTTAAACAAGGAAAGAAATAGGGGAAGACGAGGATAGCACTAGAGAAATGAGTTAGACAAGGATAGCAACAGTATAACGAGTTAGACAAGGATAGCAACAGTATAACGAGTTAGACAAGGATAGCAACAGTATAACGAGTTAGACGAGGATAGCAATAGTGCCATGTGTTAGACAAGGAAAGGAACGGGATAGACAAGGACAGAAAAAGGTGTCAGGCGAGACTAACGCCATCTAACATTTAGGGATCTGAACTACCATTTCTTAATAGGAACACAGAATATAAACAGAGGCATTAGACAAGGAAAGCACTAGTGTGCGAGAAGGATAGAGAGAAAACGCTTCCTATTGGCTGGCGGGCCGCCATGCTTCGCCTCTCAGGACCTCAGCCACGTGGTCCGGTGAAAAATCATTAATAACTCAATAACTACGATGATTCTGTGAACTTTTAGGATTGAGGAATGTAGTGTGGACCTTTAGCAACTTTTACATATAGTTTTTAGTGTCCTAGACCCCCTCAATAATTAGTTATAACAATTTTAGTACGTGATGTCAGCAAATGTAGTACGGGATACCGCGCATCCTTCTCGTTTTTCATTAATTTTGTAACTTTCCACACATAATTTATGCACTTTAATATATGCGTTCGAAAGGCCATTACTTTAGCTAGTTTCTCTTTCAACTTTCGTTAACATGTCCGTCGTAATTTGCGAGATATTAAACATTATTTGGATAAATACTACACTCGTCGTATTCAAGCGTAAATATTTTCCGTCATTTTCGTTAATAACTCAATAATTACGATGATTCTGTGAACTTTTAGAATTGAAGAATATAGTGTGGACCTTTAGCTACTTTCACATGTAGTTTTTACTGCAATACACCCTTTCAATAATTAGTTATTAACAATTTTAGTACGGGATGTCGAGAACGATACCGTTTACGTTTATATACGTTTACGGTTTTTCAACAATTTCATAACTTTCTAATGAATTCCTATGCAAGTAACTAAATGCATCTAAAAGGCAACTTCCTTAGCTACATTCTCATATAATTTTTATCAACATATTCGGTCTAGTTCACGAGTTATTAAACATTATAGGGGAGAGTCTCCTATTCATCGTACTCGAATATAGTCAACTGTTATAAACAATTGCTAATATCTAATAAACCACGTCACCTACGGCTACCAAAATTATTGGAGAATATAGATAAAAGTCCATTCTACATTCTTCATGCTTCAAAGTGCATAATTAATCACGCATATCTGTTGAAATAACGAAAATGTGTTATCCTTGAATGCGACGCGTGTAATACTCACCTAAAGAATATTAAATAACTATCAAACCACAAGGGATATATTAATGAAAATTATATGAGAATGCAGCTAAGGGAGTTGTCTTTCAGACGCATATAGTTAGTTGCATGAGAATTTAGTAGAAAGCTACGAAATTATTGATAAACCGTTAAGGTACTTGTCGGTACGCGGTATCGTTCCCGACATCACGTACTAATATTGTTAATAATTAATTATCGAAAGAGTTTAGTGCATTAAAAAGTATAGGAGAAAGTTACTGAAGGCCCACACTTCATTCTTCGATTCTAAAAGTTCACAAAATCATCGTAATTATTGAGTTATTAATGATTTTTCCCTGGTCGACTGATTTAGCCCGTGGGAAATGGAGCTATGGCGGCTCCCAGCCAATAGGATGCGTTTTCTCTCTATCCTTCTCGCACACTAGTGCTTTCCTTGTCTAATACCTCTGTTTATATTCTGTGTTCCTATTGAAAAGTCGCAGTTCCCGTCACCAAATACAAGATGGCGGCAGTCTGGTTTTTCTGTCCTTGTCTATCCCTATTGCTTTCCTTGTCTTACTCGTTGCGTCAGTGTTATCCTTGTCTACCTCTATTCCTTTCCTTGTCTAACACATTTCTGTATTGCTAGACACCTCGACGAGTTATCCGTCGTGACAAGCCCGACTACCGATGGTACGTTGCCATCGTCCAATGATAAGTACACAAAAATTAATCACATAAACCAACCAAAAAATTCTATATTAATCACTCAATTCTTTAGTACACACTGAAATAAGAAAAAAATGTTTAAAGTAATAAAAATTATGAAGTTTCATTGACTAATACACTGTTATGAATGTCAGTAGGTAGTAGCTGTTAGAAGTCATGTAAAATGACAACTTGAGTGATACGCGAAGGCAGTTACATATTAGAGAAAGCCAAAAATATTTGTTTCTTAACAAGGATTATTTTAAAATGGATGAAAATATAATTCCAACCGTAGTGTTTCATCCTATCATTTCTTCTATACAAAAAATTGCTCTTTATGAAACGAAATCAGTAAGTTTAGCTTTGGATTAATAAATTATTTAAATATTTTGAGAAGTAAAATATAATTTATCTTTCAGAAATTTTATTTGATGGGATCAAATAATACCTTAACACGTTTTCGGGTATTAAAAATTGATCGTATGGAACCAAAAGAATTAGTTGTTATAGATGATAAGAGAGAATATACGCAAGATGAAATAAAGGATCTTGTAAATGAAATAAACATGGGTAATCGTACACGTGTTGGACAACGCAATAATAGCGGTGGAGTTGCAAGAATTATCTCAGCTTTTGGAATTGTTGGTAAGCAATTATGGTCCACCTTTTTCTTGGTTATATCATAAACTATCGATGCATGTATATGCTTCCATAATATAGGATGCTTTCACAACTTGTAATAATTATGGATGATGTATAATTGTATGCAATATACAGAAAATACTAATATAATTTTGTATATAAGTGCCATATTTTTTATTAGCATATAAATACATTGTGTACCTTTTATGTTTTGCACGTTTTACTTTTTCACCATATGTTTATTGTAGTCTAATGCTAGACACAGAATAACATATATGTGATAGTACTTGAATAAAATTATCGCTGAATCATTATACAAAACTTAGTTTCCTTATATTTGCTTGCTAACAAAGGCAGCATTTACAAAGAATCTACATCTGACAATGGTGTATCAAAAGAATGTGAACACCAAGAAAGTCAGAAACCATTGCACAAACCAACTCAAACTAAATTCACCTGGAATACGATGTGGCAGAGAGATACTTTTCCTCGACTAGTACGAGCATTTGGTCTTCTTGGTAAGGACCATTGAGTTTAATATTGAAAGTCAATTGTCACATGTTTGATACAGAATACCTTCTAACAGAGGATCTAATAATTGCTTCCATTTAAATGGTACACTGTTGAATTTAAGTAAATTTGTATATAAAATCAATATAAAGAGAAAATAATGAAATAAAAGTATAACTTTAATATGGTAATGATTATTCTCTATGCCATTTTTATAGTATGCAATGAAATTTATTATTAAATATTGTACCAATATAAATATACCATGTGTAAGATATCACAGCATATGTATGATTGTTTTAGCATGGTATAACACAATAATACAATATTTGCATGCCATTTTAATTGTAATCATAGATTTAAGCATGTTATATACACAACATATTAGATTTTGTAATAAATAAAAGTTATAACAATTTATTCATTTCAAGAAAACACTTGATAATCTTGTGACAGGTTTTGTACGTTTCTTGGAAGGATACTATATAATTATGGTTACAAAACGACGTAGGGTGGCTGTAATTGGTCATCACACCATATATAAAATAGAGGATACTTCAATGATTTATATTCCAAGTGATAATGTCCGTGCTTTTCATCCTGATGAACAAAGATATGTAAAAATGTTTCAAAGCATAGATCTTCGTAGTAACTTTTATTTCAGTTACTCTTATGATTTGACACATACTTTGCAAAGTAATATGACTCCACCAAAGCATATTAAATCTGATATTTCGAGTACAGATAACGAGAACATAAATCAAACAAAGACTAACAATACTGAAGAAGAAGAAGAAGACTTTTTTAACATGTGGGCATTTAAGAAAAGATATCAGAATAACAGGTTTGATAATAATAATTAAATGCTAAATTTCTAAAAATTAAATACCAAATTATTAACATTTTCAGCGATACAGGAAAATATGTTGATTACGGTGTACGAAGTAATCCACATCGTCGATTTGTGTGGAATTCTCATTTATTAAAACCAGTGGAAAAAGATTTGCATCCCGACTGGATTTTATATATTATACACGGTTTCCTTGGACAATCAAATGTTAGTATTTTTGGAAGATCCATGTATGTAACTATTATAGCCAGAAGAAGTAATAAATATGCAGGTACTAGATTCTTGAAACGCGGAGCGAATTTTGATGTATGTATACTCAAATAATTTTTACGTTTTCCTATTATAATTGTATATTATTAATTGACAATCTTATAAATTAAGGGAGATGTCGCAAATGAAGTAGAAACGGAACAAATTGTACATGATTCTGGAGTAAGTTCTTTAAGTAAAGGACGTTTTAGTTCTTTTGTTCAAATGCGTGGATCGGTTCCTGGGCATTGGAGCCAAGAAGTTAGTAAAATGGTTCCTAAACCTACAATCACTTGTGATTTGGCTGATCCTTATGTAGAAACAGCAGGTAAGAAAATTAAACAATATTGCAACAATTTTCACATACATTATGCAAATAGCATTTTGATATTATTTAAAAAAAAACTCAGGTGCACATTTCAATCAACTTCTAAGGAGGTATGGTTCTCCAATTATAATTCTTAATCTTGTTAAGAAACGTGAGAAAAAGAAACATGAAAGTACATTGAGTGAAGAATTATGCATGGCTGTTAAATATTTAAACCAATTTTTACCTCCAGAACATCATATTCAATATATAAGTTTTGATATGGCTCGAAAGAATAAAAGGTACATTATGTTTTGGTACATAAAGATGATGTCGAATAAATATATAATGTTATAATAGAATAACGTTTTTTTTTTTCTTCTTTTTTCCAGAAAGAAAGTTAATGTTATGGCATATTTGGCAAACATAGCATATAATGCAGTATTGAAAACGGGTATTTTTCAATCGCAAAACCCATATTATAGCCAAAAGAATTTATTTTTTTCTCCACCTATTCGTATAAAGAAGCCTCACAAAGTGAATTCAAATACACATCTCTCATTCAGTACACATACTCTGCAGAATTCTGCAAGTTCAATAACTGAAGATAATAATAATTTGTCTATTAGTAATGATTCCAAGCTTATTACAGAAAATAAATACGATGAATCAAATTATATTGAAAATAATGTAAGACAGTGCTTTGGTAAAAAGGGTACCTTACAAACTGGAATTATTAGAACAAACTGTGTAGATTGTCTAGATCGTACAAATACAGCGCAATTTGCAATAGGAAAATGTGCTTTGGGGTTCCAGTTATGTGCTTTAGGAGTATTGGAGTCTCCTAAATTGGAATTTGACTCAGATTGTGTAAGAATGTTAGAAGCATTATACGAGGATCATGGAGATACATTGGCATTACAATATGGTGGTTCTCAACTAGTACATAGAATAAAAACTTACAGGTAAGATTGCATAATTTCATGTACATTTCTTGTTATTATAAACAGTTATTTTGTCATTAATTAGGAAAACTGCACCGTGGACTAGTCAGGGTAATGATATTATGCAAACACTCAGTAGATATTATAGTAACACTTTCAGTGATCAAGAAAAGCAACATACGATTAATTTATTCTTAGGTAAATATAAATATACATGTAATAATATATTGATATAAGAGGTAGTTGAATGATGTGAGTACATTTTGTTTGAATATTTCTTACAGGTTTATTTGTACCTGAAGAAGGAAAGCCTCCAATTTGGGAGCTTCTAACAGATTATTATTTGCATCATAAACCTGCTTGCCACTATACCCGTCGAACAAAACTTTTAACGCAATGGTGGGATACTAACGTAGTAAAGTGTCTGCCATATGCGCTGAATGAAGTAACGAAAGCTTGTGCAGAAATAATACAAGTACAAAATTCTATGGAAGAGATGATTGATGTTTATTACGATTATCATAAGTATTTAAATTCTTTTTATGTAAATACAAAATTGTAGTTCGTTTATTTATTTTAGATGTTTTTTCAGACCATACGAATTGACGGTACTTTTGGGAGTTTACGCGTATCAAATTAGTCATTCTGTTAGAGACTTCATGCCGCATTTCACAACCAGTTTTAGTCCATTTGCAGTACGGATACGACCGGATAGAAGAAGAGAAGAAACTGGTAATAAAAATCTAAATATGAAAAATCCTTCCATGACCGGCCAAAGTAGTACCAGCAGCACAACGTCAAGTGCAAGGTAACATAGATTGAATTAAAGCATATAATTATCTAAATGTTAATTTTCTACATGATATTTCATAGTTCCGACAACGATTCAAGTTCAGACGAAGATGAAAGTCATCAGCAGGCTAATGATTCACAATTAATAATTTCAAAAGAAAGTTCGGAATTCACATCTTTCGAATTATTGTTTCCATCTATGAAAGATGTATATGGCACTAAACTTGAATATCCTAAAAGAAATGACGTAATTCTGTATAAAAAGTAAAAGTACTTACAAATTTACTTCTGCAGGTATTATGAAATGTTTACAAATACGTAAAAATATATTTGCAGATTTGTATTAATTGGACGTAATGCAACATATCCTACAAATTACATGAAATTGCGTTCGAAATTAATTCAACAAGCATCATTTCCCGATGTTACAACTCCTGTAATTGCGCTGCCATCAGTAACGAAATCTAGTATAAGTATATACACGCAATATGTTACAAGAGCTAAGGTGAGTATAGATTGTCAATGTGCAAATTATTTTTACCATGCTAAAATTGTGTATTTTTTTTTAGGTAGGTGGTTCAGTACCAAATTCCAATGATATTAGTTTGTATGAAAATTATATTAAACAGCAGCAGTTATTAGAAAATCCAACATATTGAAATTGATCTTATGTACTTAATTTATGTTAAAGATGTATATATTAATTTGTAAATAAAATAAAAATTTTGTACCGTAATAAAATGTTTCGTTTTTGTAAATGTGCCTTATAAATAATGGAAATCATATACACAAAAGCATGGGATTATTTTCTTACATGTTTTATTAAAACCATTTTTGAGAGGTATTACATACACTTACAAAATATGCAAGTAAATGTCAAGTCTATAGTTTACTTCAGCTTCTTTTTTGGTCGGATATTGTTTGTGTGGCCACATTTCTTTTTACGGCAATTGGTTGCACGTGGATGAAGACGAGCATAACACTTTCTGCAAATCATTTTATCACAATTGTACTTCTGTGCAAGGATACGCAAGGTAGGCTCAATAACACCACCACGAAGTCTCAAAACAAGGTGCAAAGTAGATTCTGTTAAAAGTACAAAAATAATTATTGCTTTAGTATAAAAGATGTATGAAACATTAAAATATTTTTTTAATAAAATTACGTAATACCTTTTTGAATGTTATAATCTGACAGAGTACGTCCATCTTCTAACTGTTTTCCAGCAAAAATGAGACGTTGCTGATCGGGTGGAATTCCTTCTTTATCCTGAATTTTTGCTTTCACATTTTCAATAGTATCCGATGCTTCCACTTCAAGGGTAATGGTTTTACCCGTCAAAGTTTTCACGAATATCTGCATTTTGGCGAACCTAATTTGCAACATAAAAAGGAATACTGCACATTTAACGAACAATCATAACATCAAATAGGGACGTTATAAACACGAGATTTATTCCATAATACCGTTACGTTTGACAATTAATTTCTTTTACGTTTCCAATTTTTCGATTTCTATTTTAATATGAAGTTTAATAAAGTATGTGGAAGTGACTAGAAAATTTCAAACGAGACATTTCGTTTATGGACCTGTGTTCTAGCAACGTATCGTGCCACAATTGTTTTCCAAACCCATTTGTTTAATTGTTCGATTATACAGTATTTGATAAGTAAAACTGACTTACTTAATCTACAGCTGATATATACAACGTTGTAAACGTATTAGCTTTATAGGTATATTTTAAATAATAAAAATTCTAAAAAATATTGTATTCTTACCGTTAATAAAACGTGCTTGCCACTCAACTTACTTAGATCTTTTGAGGGCAGCACTGTTACTTCCGTTACTTCACACGAATACCAATCGTACTGGCCCTCTAGCGACGAGTCAGTGATATTATTTGAAAGAAAACTACGCTCCGAAAAATTTACTTGCCGTGCATTATGCAAAGTAAACAATGATTGTTAACTCACAGCGTTGGTGTAATCTTGAAATGGTTGTTGGATTTGAAAAAGAAAATGTTCGCATTAATCGGTAATCCACTATTGCGTGGAATTGAATTAGTTGTCGTTAATTTCTTGATACGTATAAGTTATATTCGCCACTAGATTCTTGTAGTCAGTGACATCGAACTTTGAATTATGATGCCGGTGCATATTGCGGTAGTAGGTTTATAATTTTATGTTTGTGGAAATGCAGACGAATGTACAAACGTTTCTACGTTGCACTGCGTAGGCACACGTATTACGATACGCACGCGCACATATTGCATTCGATGTACAGATTGCAAATTTCAGTAGTAACCCTTAAACTTTACACTTTGACCTAGATGTTCGTCTACCCATAAGGCTTCGCAATTAAACATGTTTTACAGCATGCTGTGGAGTAGACGTGCATCTAACGTACACACAGACAGGTACGATGAAAACTATAAACGAAAAAGCTAGACGAAATTTCTCCATATTTTCGGTCATTTCTTCGTATTAATAATAATTTTCGAGTAGTACAATTCGAATACACCCGTGTCTATGGGATTTCTCACGGGTACACGTTTTAAGAATGCGTTCCATAAATTCGAACGAGTTTTGCAATACTTTGAAGAGGTATAGGAAGTTTTATGATACTTCACTGCCTTGAATGCCTTTGCATTCTCGTTGAACGAGAATCTCTTTATGCCACCTAAGTCACGTGACGGCGCGTTACTTGTAAGAGGGTGTATGTAGATAAGAAGAAATACGAAGAAAATGCGTAAAATGTGTGATAAATTTCGTAGCGGTTGCGGATAGGCTATAAAATCGTTGACACACCTCGATATATGGTACGCGTGTACGCGTATATTTCCCTCTAACGTACACATTAATAAGCACCGTTTGTTGACTTACAGCGGGTACTTGTTGGAAAAGTGAATGCGTTGGATAGGAGATGCGATGAAATCGGATAAGCAACAAGATTACTTTTGTAATCCGTTCCGAGATTGCTTCACCGAGTGGCTCCAGTTTTTCTGCAGGTGAGTGTTTTATGTTGCAGTAGTAGTTGGAAATCTTCATCGAAGAGTTTCCTCATTATAAATCCTGCCCGACTGTTTTCTACACGCAAACGAGCACATTTGAATTTGTTGCATTGATCAACCCCATGTTGCAGGGCAAATTGTTTCGAGTTGTTCAACTCTAATAAAGTTAGCCAGAGTCTCAAGGCTATTGTGGAAATTGAACGGTAACTGGATTTGGTTGTAGATGGACCAGCTATGGCCGAGAATGCGAATTAGCGCATTTCACTGGTGCATGCGAATCGAATAAATGTTAATATGAATATATCGAATAGCGAAATTCTCGATGTACCGTTGCACACAGGTGGCAACATCGTTCTGATTGATGAAGCGTAGTTCACCGGTGATGTAATTTACGAAAAACCGATTTCAAATATATAATACAGGTAGTATGTACGCCCGTAGACGGGAAATGAAATTATAAACGCGTTACTCAATCTCTATTTCGATCGCGTGTAAACGAACAGCACTAGAAGTTAATCGATGTATCTGTGCTTTTGTTTAATGGGTGTTAAACTTTGATCCACGCGAATTACGATATGGACATCAACGAGGGAATTAAATGAAAATTTCTCTGGTTACAGATATTACGTGTTTCGATCAGAGAAATGACACGATCGTGCAACCATTTCTCGGCAAACGAACCAGTTGGAGAACCCGACGAAACGAATACATATTTTCTATTTTCTAATCGCGATTATCGTGGTCGCATAAAACGTATACGACGACTATTTTATGGCGGGGCTATTGGGAAGTAGGGAGAATAATATCGATATGGAAACGCTATAAATTCATAGGAATGCTGGCATGGTCGAATCGTACCGTGTCTCTGACATTCGCGAATGGCCTTTATTTACGGAACTATCGGTCGAGTTTTACCCTAGTATTTACCTTCCTCTCCGAAGAACAGTGGATGTTGAACGCAAACGGTACCCCGGCAGGTCGATGTCGCGTCATTTCTGAGCGCCGTTGTTGTTACTGCAATTGCAGCTATGACACTTGACCGCTTGTCCATTACTGGATATCTGTATTCCATGTTCAGCCGCGATTTCCATTTACACACGCTGCACGCCATACCTACTCTTATCCTTAAACGTATGAATTAAACGCCCTCCGTATCGTGTACTATCATGGGCGAATTTCATAGGGAGTAGGCCGATCAAACACGACACTTTCAGCTTTATCCACCGAAAATTCGTTCCCATCCAGACAGGCCAGGCGGTT